GGGGGGAATAAAACCCTTTTAATCTGTTATTTATTAATGTGTGGTGAAGAGTTGCTGGTATATAAAGAATCCTTCCATTAACCTCATAAAAAGAAAGTAAAATCAAGATAGAAAAGGATTGGCTACCTTAAGAAATACTTTGTGGCCCAAATGTGGGATTTTTAAAATTAAGAGTTTGAGAAATGTCCATGCTTCAGATGCATTCTACTGTCCTTCAAGAGCAGGAAGGAAGACAGGCTCACTTGTCCATACAAACCAACACCTGCTTGGAAACTCAGATTTGAAAACTTCCTCTGAATTAGAACAGTCACATGGCTTGAAGGGCCGTCCCCACCCTCACCCCCACCCCCTCCAGTTGAACATCTGCTGTGGGAGCTCTGTGCTTCTGAAGCCAGGGGAGTCCTCCCAGAGTGGATTCAGCTGCGAGCCTGGGGAGGGCACGTGGCCTTTGCTGTTTCCGTTTAGCAGGAAACGGTTTGAGGCCTTTGGCTGGGAACCCCCACTCAGAAAGGCTCCCTTTCACCTGGTGCACCCATGGCTTCCCGGGACTTGCGATGCAACACGTCACCCTCCACGTTACTTGAAGGCCAGCTGCAGCCAAGAGCATGTGGGTCACAGTGAGACCCCTCAAGCTTCATCACAGACTCACACTTCCTCCCCTCCTCCCCCTCCATTCCTGCAGGTGAGAAGCCCCACAAGTGCCAGGTGTGCGGCAAGGCTTTCAGCCAGAGCTCCAACCTCATCACCCACAGCCGCAAGCACACCGGCTTCAAGCCCTTCGGCTGTGACCTGTGTGGGAAGGGCTTCCAGAGGAAGGTGGACCTCAGGCGGCACCGGGAGACACAGCATGGGCTCAAATGAGAGCTCTGGCTGGCCACGAGCAGCAGTTATACAACACTAGGGAGGGCAGCCTCCCCACTTGCCACCACCCACTTCTGGCTTCTCAGGCCCCCCAGTCTGCAGATCCCACCAGGGTGGCCCTCCTTCACCTTACTTCTGGGAGCTGCCGGAGTGGATCAGTTACCTTTTCAAAGTTCATCCTGGAGTGGAAACCAAATGACTCACTGTGCTTTGGACACACGGAACGGGCTCGTCTGCACCTGAAGACTGGAGTCAAGGGGAACAGATAAAATCTTGGGCCCCTCAGTCCTTCCCATTTCCCGCCCTGCTCCAAAGACAGGAAGGTCCTTCAGGTTCCTTCCCTTCTCCTCCTGACCTACCCCAGATACTTGTGTGGAAGAGGAGGAATCATCATTTACAAGGTAGACACACTCTAATGTTTTCGGTTTTTAAAAATCTAGAATGAAGAATGGGTGTTTTTTTGTCGTTGTTGTTTTTTCCTTTTGGGGAGTCTGTTGATCCCTTTCTGTTGGGTGCTGCCTGTAAGTCTTGGAGGAATCATTTCTCCCACTTGAAGACTGGTTCAGAAACTGACTTGGGGAAGTAGTTACATGCTTTTGAAATTACAAGACACTCTGTACAGCCTGCCCCAAGAACGAGTTGAAGGAACGTGGACTTGGTGATGAGGAGATAGTTAGAGGCCTCGGTGAGAGGAGGTGAAAGCACAGAGCAGCGCCTTTGGACAAGATATCATCCATTCAGTCAGCAGCTGTTTGTTTACCACCGGTTACCATGGCATCAGGCCCTATGCTAGGTACCGAGGAACCAGAGATTAAGGTCATGGCCTCTGGGGCTTCGCTCTTTCCCTCCAAAGGAATTCCGAGAGGACAGAACAGAATCTTGAAGCTTCCCCTCTGACCTGTTTGGATTTTATCAACCGTAAACAAAAAGCAACTGAACAGATACTTCAAAGATTTGTGTGTATATTTAGTTTTGTATTGTTAAGCTGAGTTTTTAAAGATGTCTAAGCTAGCAGGCATGTGGGAGTGAAGGCTGTGTCTTCAACTCTTTGCCCTTCCATGTATACCATAGAGGGGAAAAAAAAGTGATATTTTCTTTTGATGAGGTTTATAAATGTTTTTTAGATTTGCTGGTGTGCATCATGTTTGTTAATACATATTTATTAGAGTGGTGTTTTAAGTTAATAAAGTATTAAGACTCTTACATATTGCTTTTTTATTTAGGCAGGGAATCTGTGAAAGACTTTTGTTTTAGTCTGCGGGGGAGTTGGCACTGAAGGAAACTACAGGATTAAAGCAGACAAGCCAACATGCAGGAGAGAGTAGAATCCAGTTGCTCTGGTTTTCCTGGGCTGTTTTCTTTCCTTCTATGCCTCAGAGATCCTTATTTCTTAATAGAAAAACTAGGTGTGCAATACTGGGCTCTGGCCTTATAGAGTCCGTGATGGTTGCCCATGTACACAGGATCTTTCTTCTGAGAGTTTCAGGTTTTTTAAAGGCCAGAAGGCTCTGAGATGGACAAAGAAATCACAAGCCTTAGGTCTAGAGATTCTTAGTCACAGCCCTGTCACCAACACATCCTGTGAACTGGGCAAATCTTCTGACCTCCCCCATACTGGTCTCCTTGACTATAAAATGTACATATGGTTGTATCATCTCAGTGTAACCCAGACTACTTTGATTCTGTGGAGACTGGAAAGTTGCTATCTGAGATTGGCTAGCTGCTTCACCTAAGGTAAGTTACAAATCTAAAGATGCATGAGGGGCAGTGACGTTGAGATGTGGGTTAGTTCTGGCTCTATCCCACCTTTGGTAATTTCTTGCACAAATCAACCCCTTAAACTGGAATAAGTTCCGGGCCTAAATCCCAACTACCTGTGCTTTTTCTAACACCTCCCAGCCAGGGTATGCATGGCCCATGGTGACCACCAGCAGATTGTCTATTTCAATTCAAATCAATTTCACACATATTGATTGAGCACCTACTATGTGCCTGGCACTGTTTTTGGTGCTGAGATGCAGCAGTGTGCAGTGTCCTGTGGAGCTTTATTTATTTGGTCACTGCTGAATCTTCCAGAACAGTGCCTGGCACACAGTAGGAGATATATTTGCTGAGGTGTTAAGTGGATAAGCAGACAGTGTAAACTTCTGCTTGATTCTGGCTGGCTCTGCTCCCTACAGCACAAAGGGAAGAGAAACTGCAGGAAACAAACAGAACGTAGAGGACTCTTGAGTTGGTGGGTGGTAATGGGGGCTTTGAGTCTGCTTTTCTCCAGTTTCTCCAAAATCTCAGCCCTTGGCTGTCCTCACTTGGTTATCTCAGAGAAGACCACGTCGTCTTTCCAAGTCAGTTTATTGTCATTCAAAATGTAAATTTGCTAGCTCTATAAGGCAACTTTAAGATAATTTTCCAGAACTAATTGGTGAGCAGTTGCAGCATACAGGAACCTCTTTCTAGTGTCCTGAGAAGCAGAGTTCCCGGTGAATAAAGGCCATGAAACTTCCTTCCCACAGAACTCACCGTGTACCCTGGTTGAGAATTTCCAACCTGGTTTGAAAAGTAAAGAAGTTGCACGGAGGGGTAAGTAGAACTGATTGAAGTCTAGTTGTCTGTCCTGTCCTTTTCACCCCTTAATGACATTTAAAACTTTCAGTCCCTTTTCATAATCCTAGTTTATGCTATACATGAGTTTTAATTTTTATGTTAACAGTATGCCTTTTGTGGGGGGGAAGAAAATACCTCGGTATCCCCAACACAGAATCAAAACAAATTACTGAGTCTGTTCCTGTGTGAAATTTGAAGATTGCAAATATCTCTCTTAATGTTATTACTTGACTCCATTAAAAATAGATCGTGAATATTCCATGTCACATTATTCATGAGGCAGGCCCTATGTCTTTTGTCTGCTGGAGTAACAGTAGAAAGGGTAACAGGAGACACCAGAGCACACCTTTGTTTCTTTCACTAAATTTTTAATAACACCTCCAGCCAGCCAGTTGGTGAAGCTCAGCTCTTGCATAAAAGTGGAAAAGCACAGCTATCTCAGAGAAGACCAAGTCTTTCAGTAGCTAATTCTAGTTTGCGTTCATCTACACCAGAGATGATTAAATTACCTATCAAGTGTGCTGAGCTATCAGGATTCAGGCCACGTAAAAGGTGAATTTCATCTGATTGATTTGAGACACGAATGGAACAATTGACTTTTAAAAGCCCCTCCTTAATTAAAGGCACAGCAAAGTAGCTTTCCTGGGCCAGTTCTTGACTGCAATTGCCCTTGAAAATTGGGTGGTAATAGTGATTTGACCCCAGTCATTTTGTTGTGTGCCTGTTTGTTTAACCGGATTAACAGAAACGTAAATTCAGTGCAAGGACCAAAAGGACTTGTCTACTTTTTTCTGTGCATTTCTAGAGCTCTATTTGTTTAAATCTCTGCTGTTATATTATTTCTACACTTTTCAGGAAGTGCATGATATATTTATTTTAACAACATTTCATTCATTGAGTCAAGTTTTAGAAAGAAAAAAGAAATTTTACCCCAAACCTTCTAGCTTAAAAGTTTGTGTTTTTTTGTTTTTTTGGTTTTTTTTAGTGTTCCATCCCAATTTTTACCCATACACGTGTATATGCACATTTTATATTTTTACCCTGTGATCAGGGTATTTACAATTTATGTCTAGGCAGTTCTCTTCTTTATAATATAGACACATACTCAAAATTGAAAAAGTGAGCAAAAGTAGGTGTACAGTTGGAAAATAATACAATAATTAATAAATAATAATACAGAATGAACTCTGTTTTGTTTACTCACAACTGTAAACCTACGTTTGCCATCCCTGTCTTTATATTTAACAATGAGAATTTCGACAGTTTTTATGGTTAAAGTTCATCGAAATATGAGTATTTCTTAGGAATTTTATCAGTCATTAAGATAAAGTCTTCTGAAGTTTTACCTTAAAGTTACTCACTTTTTAAATAAAATGTTTCAAGCATATGGGAAATTACAGAGAATAGTACAATAACCATCACTCTGCCATGTTTACTTCTGATTTTATTTTTGAAATAAAATATTACAGGCATGGTTAAATATCTTCTGGAAAATGTTTTCCCCTAACCTCATTTCCTTTCCTCTCCCTGCAGAGGCATCCACTGTACCAAAATTGGTACATATTATTGACATGAATATTTTTATACCTTTATATATATGTATATATATATCACCATAAACAATATATAATACTGTTTAGCATATTTTAACTTAATACAAGTGTTATCACAGTGTATATATCCTTCTACACCTTGATTTTTTGTTGTTGTTTTTGCTCAACACTTTGTTTTTGAGATTTATGTTGGTACATGCAGTTTTGTTTATTTATTTTAACTGCTGCATGTAGAATTCCTTTGCATGGATACTTGGTGATTATTTATGTATTCTATTGGAAGAGTTTTGGTTATTTCCAATTTTTCCTATCACAAACAATCTGAAGTGAGCAACCTTTTACACATCTCCTTGTGGAGAGATTTTTTTTAGGGTATATTTCTGGAAATGCTGGACATTACCAGAGTGTTCTCCAAAGTGATTATATCAGTTTACACCCCTACCAATAGTATAGGAGAATTCCTGTCGCCCCACATCTTATCAACAGGTTGGTATTGTCAGACTTTTAAAATGTTTGCCAGTCAGGTGGGTGTGAAATGTTATTGTAATTTGCATTTTCTGGTTGCTAGTGAAGTTGACTATCGTTTTATAAGTTTATTGGCCTGACAGGTTTCCTTTTCTGTGAAATGCCTGTTCATGTACTTTTGTCCATTTTTTGGTTAGGTTGCTTGCTTTTTATAAATTTATTTTTAAAAAATATATTAGAAGTACTTACTGTTTTGTTAGTTAAATATGTTGACGCATTTCTCAGTCTGTAGCTTGTCTTCTCACTTTGGTTAAAGAAAGAATTTGTTTATGTTGCTTTTTGTGTTATTGTAGTCAAATGTATTAGTCTTTTACTTTA